CACTGCCTTTCTTATACCCGAGGACCCCTTTTGGAAACGTTGTTGTCTCAGTCGATGGCCAGTGGTGGACGTGATCAAACACGGCAACTCCTGGAAGCGGGCTTTTTTTGAAAAGCGTCTGGAGGAAATGATCCAACAGTACATCCCAGGCGAGACCTACCCTGTGTGGATTGAAGAGGCCCTGGAATTCGCAGCTCCTTTTGTGAAGCGGCTTGACATTAAGGAAATGTTGCCACCCGTACGGAAGAGACCAAAGAAGAAGTCACACAAGGTATGGTTTTCGAGTGTCGATTCCTCTGTAAACGTTCATTGTACCAACAAGAGGTGTATAAACATAGCTCATGGTGGTCTTGGCATCTTTGGCCCAAATAAATGATTTGATTTTTTCTGAAAAATAACTTTGAGCTGCGTGTTTCAGACTGCAAAAAAAGTATTTCTTATCCTGATTACTTTATTGGCTATATTAGCTCCTGTATGTTGTCATACTGGGGATTTGGTAAGTAAAAATACCAACTTGCCCATGGTAATAGCGACGTCGTTGGGTATAGGAGTAGTAACAGACTAGCGCCCAAGAAACGGCAAGAAACTTCTTTTCTAAATGAGTTAGTGCATGCAAAAGTAGACTCCAGATTCGGATAAGATATTTTCCATATGTGTGCTAATAAACAAAGACAGCAGACTCAGTTGTATGCAAACAGAACTTTTCAAAGGCAAACCATCTTCAGCGCCAGTGTGAATTTTAAGCGATGACCAATCGGCTTATTGAGGTTTGACCTCCGCCTATTTTGCCACTGACTGGTAAATCGAGCTGTCTACCACTTGCGGCCTTACGCCTACGACTGCAGAGGCAATGCCTGACAAATTCTTATTGTAGGTGATCCGTTTTTTGTGAACGGTCACATTGCCATGAAAAGAGGGAATAAAATGAACATTGTATTGCCTGTAGTGTATGGACACATGCCAATCATTTTACGGAATATGGCCGGCCTGTTGTCCCTTGGAGCTCCGGCTAGAGCCTCTGGAGGCTGCTACCTAGTAG